AATATGCTAGTCTCTTAAAGGAAGTTCACATGTATTTATAATAAACGTTCCTTATTTCACTGGTGGAATTTTTCTCCTTAATCATCTGACATGCCATAAACCTGATGGCATTGGTCAAAAATGCCAACACCGAAAAACCACAGGTGTTTTCTAAAGTGAATGTCTGGACATTTGAGTATCCTTTGTGTACAAGGATAAAAATTTAAAAAACAACCAGTGGTGGACAAAAAGGCTGCCCAATGCTCACTTACTTCAGAAAAAAACCCTATAAACTCATGTTTTTAGATCTTCTCATGGAAAAATATCAAAAGTGAGAGCGGATATTAAATTAAAATGGTAACAGATGAGATGAACATGAACAGTGCTTGAAAGGAAAATGTGCAGTGAGATCCAATTTTGTGTGGCGCTGCACTTACCAACAAGATTTGTAATGCAGCATCTGCAGCTTAGTCATAAAAGCATATAATACAGAATGTTAATACACATCCCTGCATGCACACGCACACATACACTCGCTCACAAACCACTTTACTTCCTCTGAGACAAGGGTGGTCCTTGGTGTCTGTCAGTGACCGCAGACATTCCAGTGGGTTCAGTTCAGTCTTCCTATACACAACATATTTCCAGAAAGCTATGTCTTCTGGATTAAGGAAAAGCCCCTCCTCATTTCTGTCACCACTGTTTGAAAAAGCCACCTCCTCTGGCATCATCTAAGCTGCAGGTTTAGCATTAGCCCACAGGGACATACTCAGCTCTGTCTGTAAGGACACGTACTAATGAAAAATGTCAATTTTACAAAATAAAATGTCAGTTTGTGCTGGTTTTCCAGAACCAGATTGTAAAACAGTTCTGTAGCCCAAAGTTGTCTGGGTTAAATAAATCCATGTAGGTAGAAATGCTTGAGATGGATCTATTCTCAAAAGTGCTTTTGATGGGAGCTGGTAGCATGGCTCAGATGGTAGAGTGCTTGCCTTGCAGGCATGGGGCTCTGAGTTTGGACACCAGTATTGGCAAAAACTAACTAAATAATACAAACAAAATGAATTTAGTTTAAAAAGTGGCTCTGTTGTTGATCCCAAATCTGGACGACACACATTCATTTAACAAATACTAATGAGGCTGTTAGCATATGCCAGTCCCTGCCAACGTGATTCCTTATCTGCACACCTTAGGACTCAAACAGATTTCTCCCTTCCGGTTCAAGGTGGCAATCTCTGCCTCACCCAAACACCTGGCTCCCACCCCAACAGGAGTGACTTGCATACTCTCTCACCCTGGCCCTGCTACTAGAAATCTGCCCATGAGACCTTAAATTTCAGCATTAAGGGAGAAACAGTGCAATCTCTGGAAGTGCACTCAGTGGATGGAGGCAGGCCTATAGGTGATGATGCATTATAGTTCTGCCATTTGCTCGGCTAAGAGATCCTGGGAGAAATACCTAATGTCTGTGAACTCCATATTCCTGATCATCGAGGGACTGGGGATATAGTTCTCCTGGGACTAGAATCCTAGAGAGTCTGCCCAACGCAGAGCAAATGCTGGTTGCCACTGGGCAAGTATTGATTCCCTTCTTACAGCATTCTCTCCCCTTCATAGCAGGGGTACTGTTGCCATGTACTCGGCAGCATGGCATGATGCAGGCAGAATTCCAAAATGGCACAGCAAGTAGCATAGGAACACACATGGTGTCATAAAGGAGACTGAGTTATTTCTTTGTGGAGCCTGAGAGTGAGAGGCACTAGCTGCTTTGTGATATTCCTGCTATCTCTTGCCTTTGATTCTGGCAGCATAACTGCGAGACGGATTTGCTGAGAGATGCAGGTGTTAAGTAAGTGGATGGGTGCCCACGTGTGTTTTGTCTTCCAAGTCTCAATCCAGCAGGTCCACCTGTGGCTTTTTATCATATGTCCACTGTCCTGTGTGATTCCCAGTAGAGGGCCTTGCCTGAGACTGTAGCTGTTGGCTAGGTCACTTTCACACCTTCCCCTCAGTGGTGTTATTTGTGAAGTAACGTTCATTCTCCACAATGAGTCTGACTCTTTCTGTAGTCTGTATACGGGCCATGTCCCCTGTCACCTACACCTAAGTATTTAATGTTTTCCTTTCGTTTGTGAACTTTGATGAAAATGACCTGGTTTCCTGGCATTGCCCAAGTGTCACCAATAAGTTTCTCTTTTTTTGTTGTTGTTTTTGTTTACCATTATGGACTCATGGTTCTTCAACACATTCATCAACTTCAAGTCCCTGCTGTTGGATTTTGAGCAGAGGAATGGCAAGATTTGACTTGTGCTTTAAAAAACACCACTCTTCCTGCTGTGTTGTAAATAGAGGCTGAGGGAGCAAGTGTAAAAGCAGAGATGCCCATTAGAAGGCAATATAATCCAGGAGATAGGTGTGGGGTAACTTGACCTGGGTGGTAATGGAAGAGGTGAGAAGTAGCCAGACACTGGGTGCATTTTGAATGGGGAGCCAAGAGAATTTCCTGACCCATTGCAGGTGGAGTGTGAGAGAATGAGAGTACTCCTGGCCACGTCCCAGTTTTTGAGGCTGAGCAAGTAGGATGCCTGGGTCAAATGCTTATACTCCCATTTATTTTCTCTTCCAGTGTGTACTCCTGACCAGGGAGTGTCTCAATGTTGTCCCGGGACTCTCCCGACAGTGGGTAACCAGGTGAAAGCAGTAACCCCTTAAGGAGTCATCTGAGGCATGGGCATTTATGGGTACCTTGTGAAGTGTGTAAGAGTGAGCCAGTTTTAATCCATATATGTGTCCATATGTGGAATGATTAATGCACAAAACGTGTAACCCGCAATCTTGGAGAACCTTAATTGTTAGATCCCAAGAAGAAGCTGTTTCCTGGCAGTCTACTTGCCTTTACCCCCAACGCCCCCACAAGTCCCTAATATTACCCTTTCTTGGTGACCAGTTTCAGTTGACCGTGATGAAAAGAAAACACCTTTAATGAGACTACCTAAGGTAGAGAGAATTGAGACTATCATATTTCTGTAGATGCAAAAACAACAAATGAAAAACTCCATTGCAGGTCTTGCCTCCTGGAGAATTAGATATGTCAGTTGAGACGGTGTTGGGGGAGGGAGGTGGGAGGATGGTGTCAAAATGCAAAAACCAATTCCTAGGAGTTGCTGGGTGAGATATAACCACTTTATAAACATTGCTGAGGCTACCTTATCCAATAAAGTAGATGTCAGAGCAAAGAAAATTAACGAGAGACAAAGAGAGGTGTTACATAATGATAAAAGGATCAGTCCACCAGGAAGATAGAGGGATCCTAAGTGAACTTTGAGATGCTCCAAAGAATCTCAAAGTGCATGAGGCAAAGTGCGTGGAGCTAAAGGGAGAAACAGCTAATATCACGGATGGAGATGTGGCCCAGTGGTGTAGTGCTGGCTCATCAGGTGCAAGGTTTGGGGTTCAATCTACAACACAGAGAGAGAGAGAGAGAGAGAGAGTAGGTGTGGGAGTGGGAAAGGGAGAGGGTAGAGAGAGAGAGAGGAGAGGAGAAGAGAGAGGGGAGAGAGAGAAGAAGGAGGAGGAGGAGGAAGACGGGGGGCGGGGAGGGAGGAAGGGAATGAACATTACACAGTGAGAGTTGATGCCTTCAACAACCCACTCTGTAGAATTACTGGAGAGAAAATCAGGAAGAATATAAAAGATAATATGGAATAAATAGAATACTCCGCCCAGCAACCACAGTGTAAGTGAAATCACGGAGTGTATTTTTTCTGATCATAACAGAATACAAAAAAAAAAAAAAAGAAAAGAAAAAAGAAAAAAATCACATACAGATGATAGGAAATCTCCAAATGTGAAGAAATTGTAATTGATGATTATCATTCCAGTTTGTGGTTCAGACCCTTGTTACAGAAGAGCTGAGTTTGGGAAGTTTCCTCTGGATAGTCCATGCTCAGTATTGTTGAGGGCACGGGTGGAGAAAAGGGACCAGTTTAGCAGACTATTGCATCAGTCCCGCCTGTCATTAAAGCTTCTACCACCAGGTAAAAGGATGCACAGTTTGCTGATTGCCCACAGAATCAGTTCTGTGCTGATTGAATTTGGAAGGCGTGAAAGAGGTTGGCCTCCCATCTATTGGTATAGTTGTTCGATTAGAGAAGTCTGAGAGAAAGCCAGATTCTGACAACATCCTGGTGTGTGGCTGGTGTCTAGTGTAACCCATAGGCATAAACACCCATGTTCTTTGTAAATCCTGTTCCACTTTTTAATAGGTTCAACATGGTTGCTTCCTCTTTGGAAGATATCTCCCCTGATTCTGCCACCCGTGAGATCAGGCTCTCATGTTTGGACAGGCAGAGGAGTTTGCTTTCTGGGATTTGTGTGATTGGTCCCTTGGGGGCAGGTTGGCATTTTGCCTGCCCTACCATGGTGTTAGCCAGTGATGTGGTCCATGGTAAGTGGACCGTGGGTGTGTCTTTAAACTTGTGTTGTTGTTGTTGTTCCCAATTTCAGAACACAGTGGTGACAGCAGTGTTCTTCAAGGAAGAAAGAGAAGTGGGAGATCTTTCCAGGGTAGTTTTGGCAGGAGGAATGGCCACTACGAGGAGAAGCATAACGGGTACATCCTCCCGCCTTCAAAACTGCAGGAGGATGATGGAAACGTGGAGATGAGGGATGTCCATGAGGACCCCAAAGTCAGATAGTAAGTGACCAGGCAGCCTGGTTTGGATGTAGCAGCCCTTAGGACTGTGCTACTCTTTCACTCTCTCTGGTCATCATCTTCTTTCACTTGGAAAAGAGACGAATGGTAGATGTGGAACACTGGTTGAGCAGTCCTAATTGTAGCCCTGGTATCAGTGAGGGAAGGGTGCTTAGAAGACTATGTTAGCGTTTATGGACACCCCCCCTTCTCTCCCTTCCACAGCAGTCCTTATGCCACCCAATGCAACAAGCAGAGAAGGAAATGGCGTAATGAAGGCAAAATCCATGTTGCTGTGTGGAGGGATACAAACCGTAGAGAGAGAGAGATGGAGCAGGACACTCAAGATGGAGCCATGCAGAGCTGGTTCAAGGTCACAGTGAGTGTCTTGGCAAAGTCTGCAGTAGGTAGAATGTTCTGAAACCTAAGACAAGGACTATCACATTCAGCACTGTAAGCTGGTTACTTGGAGAAGAACTTCTGAATGAAGGGAAAGAAGTTTAGGAAATCCGTATTTGGCACACAAAAAGGAACCATGTCAGTGGTCCCGTTAGAAGTTCTTTAAAGCCAGCTAGAAGGTCGGGAAAGAACACTTGGTTGGGGCTGTTCTCCATCCTAATTCCATGCTCTCTCTTTTCTTTGTTTCTCTTCTCTCCTATCCCTTCTTTTTCCTCCTTAGATCCCCTTTGGGAGAAAGTATGACAAGACATGGCTAATGAATTCAATCCAGAGACATTGCATTGTGCCCTTCACCCCCATCGACGTAAGAGGGGATGGTGAAGCAGGATGAGTGGGCACAGGGGAGGGGAGAGGCCAGGCTCAGCAGGGGCCATTGGCCTCTAACACCGTCGTTTCTGCCTTCCACTGTCTGTAGTTCCACTATGACAAAAATCGGGCCCGGTTCTTTGTCCAGGATGCTAGGGCTGCCTCTGCATTGAAGGATGTCAGCTACCGGATTTGTAATGAAGAGGGCCGAAAGGTGTGTGCTGGAGGCATTCATTCTCTGTACCTAGTCATGGGTGGGAGGACAGGCCAGTGGCTGGTTGCCATCTTTGGGATTAGAGTTCCTGCTACTTAACCTGACCTCTGCTTCCTGCAGATACTTCTCACTGTCAATCCTTCTTCTATACCTTACTCTGTGCAGAATAAGTTCACAGCAGAACAAATGGAGCAGCTAAAGGTAATGGAAACTGAAATCACGTTGTGTGCCCATGTCCCAGACCCATCTCTCCTTCCCCCACTCCCTGAGGTTTCTGTCACCATGACCCCCTGCAGCTCAGAGCCATTCTCTCCATCTCTGTCTGTGCAGCTGACCATGAAAAAACGATATGATGTCTCCCAGCAATCCCTGGACCTCCAGAAGCTCCGCTTTGACCCAGGTATGGCTGACCATGGTAATTTTGGGGCATGTCAGGGCATAGGGGGTCTGCCTGGGAGAAAGACCAGTTACAGACAGCAACTTGGTGGAGGGGTCATTGCTGGCACTGGTCCAGCAAGATCCCTCTCAGCCTTCTGATTTCCCCTCTCTTGGATTCCCGAAGACTTGAAGGGCCAAAAAATTGACATGGTCCTGAATCGAAGATACTGCATGTTTGCCACTCTGCAGATCATTCAAAGGAATTTCCCTGAGGTGAGGCCTTAGTCCCAGTGCTGGTGCTTGAATATCGGGATGGAAGGGATGGGGTGCAGGGCGGCTTTGTCTCTGAGGCTCTCGGTAGCACCCATTGCTCTAACTCTTCCTGCCCAAAAGCTGTCATCCTTGAACTTGTGCAACAACAAACTGTATGGGCTGGATGGCCTGTCCGATGTGGTAGAGAAGGCTCCCCAAGTCAAGATCCTGAACCTCTCCAAAAACCAGGTGAGAAGGGGGAACCACCTGAAATTTGGGTTGAGGGCAGGTGATGGTGCACACCGGGGTGATGGCACGAGGCAGACAAAGGTACCTGAGGGTGAGGGTGGGGACGTTGAGTGCAGGCCCCAGGTGTCTCTCTTTCCCCGGGACTCCTTTACTGGTTCCCTCCCGGTCTTTCTTAGCTGAAGTCGGCCTTGGAATTGAACAAGCTGAAAGGGATGAAGCTGGAAGAGCTGTGGTTAGAAGGGAACCCCTTTTGCAGGATCTTCCTGGACCAATCTGTCTATGTAAGGTAGATAATGCCTAGTAATAATGCCCGTCCACTCTCCTGATCCTGAGGCCCCCGGGAGCCTGAGATGCCCCTGATGGACCCCCTCTAAGGGAGGAGGCAGCCATGGTCCTCTGGGAGGACCACAGGCCCCGCCCTCTTACCGTTTTGGGTCCTCAGCCATGCTCACAGGTATCCTTTCCTTCTGACCTGCCCCACATTTCACCTGAGGTGGGTTTCCCACCTCTGCGCATGCGGCCTCCTCCAGCATGCCCTCCTGTGCCTCTCACAGATGGGGCTGGCCTTCCTCCCCTGTCCTGAGAAGGGCCTTATTTCCTGTCCCCCAAAATTTCTCCCCCTGTGCCCGCCGTCTCAGGGTGGCATAGAGGCTGTGCTGCCCCATGCTGAGGGCCTCAGCCCTGATTGGCTGTTTTTATGACATCCGTTGCTGTGGGTCATTGCTGGGGGCTCTGCCATCCTTGGGGAGAAACCTGGGTTCCCTGGACCAAAGATTCAGAAGTGGGCCACCACCGGTGAGCAGAGGGCTTCTGGAAACAGGAGCAGAAGGCAGAGGGCAGAGAAGGCTGAGAACAGAAAAGCAGGCCTCTCGGGGACACTGCCCCTCACTCCCTCCACATCACATCGACCTCCCTGGTCCCTCAGAGGAGCCCTGGAGAGCCAGAGAGAAGTATGATTCCTTGGGCAAGGCCCTCACACACACAGGCGCAGGTGCACAGGGAGCTGTACTCAGGGGAGAAATCAGTGACCGTAAGAGAGGCCACAGACTTTCCATCCCATGCTGAGCTGGGGCCTGACCCTTCACTCCTTCTGGTCCCAGGGGATGGCTCTTGCCCCCAGGGAAGCTCCATTTCCCATGCCCAGCTCAGACTCTGCTCACACTGGGGACAAAGGCCTGCATCCAGTGGAGCCCAGCCCAACTGGTGTATGTTATCATTCCTGCCTCAGGACCCAGGACTAGAAAGGGTGGGTGGGAGGTGAAGGAGAGGACTATAGCAAGGGAGTCATACTCTTCTTTGTTCCCCTCTTTCCTCCAGCATCAGGGTGAGTAGAGCCTCTTACTCCTCCCTTTGTGTTTCTTCCTCTTTCTCTTTTGTCTCTAGTTTCCTGTGCCCCCCCCCCAATTTCTCCCTACCCTACATTTTCTCTCTTTCTGTTGCCATCCTCCTGCCTTGCCCTCCCTGGCCTCCTGGGCCTTGCCTAACTCACCTCACTATCCCGGCATCCCAGGAGACATGGAAAGGCCTGGCTTTGGGTACTCAGAGAGGTGGCAGAGCCCTGGGCTCCCACCACCCTATTCCCTGCTCTCTCCAGCCCTTCCATGGAGGGGTTGGGAGGCACAGGGAAGGAAATCCTGGAACCTGGGCCCCCACTGGGGTTTCTTGTGGCCCTGCTGAAGGAGGTCAGGGCAGTGTAGGTGAGGGCTACCGAAGGGGAAGGAGAGGGAAGAGAGCAAGAGGGAGAGCCACTGTGAGAAAGGCTGGGCAACCCTGAAATGTCAATCGTGCCTTTTGGTTTTTGGTGTCTGGACAGTGCCATCCGGGATTGTTTCCCCACGTTGTTACGCCTGGTAAGTACCTACCTTTGTCACAGTCTCCTCCTCCTCACATACGTGACCTCCTCACCTGCCCCCAAGAAGCCCTTTGTTTCTTGCCTAGCTTGCATGTTTGCGTCAGACCGTCATCCATTGTAGATGATGCAGGTTCCTGAAAAAGACACGAATGTTCTTTCTGGCAAACGTCCTTAAGCACTCTCCCACAGAGACTCACAGGCCCGCAAAGGTTGCATATAACAGTAGAGAGTTCCAGGGCTCTGCCATGCAGACCCCTGCTGTAATCTCGCCTGTGGTAGTTCCACGGCCATTTCACACCTGGCCTCTGGGCTTTGCTCTCCCTTGGGCCTCCTCATCTCCTGGGTCACCCAGTGCCAATTCCATGGTCTACACTGCTAACTTCCTCTTCCCTTCCTTAGGATGGCCAGGAGTTATCCCCACCAGTTGCCATTGACATCGATGCTCCTGTGTTAATAAATCCCTACAAGGTGAGACAGAAGGACCAAGAGAGATTTGTGGTGTTCTGCGGAGGCATTATCAGCCCCATAATCTAAATAATGACGTTTTATTCCAGGAAGGGTATGGGGGATCTGAGTCCCTAAAGAATATAGTTCTGCGATTCCTGCAAGAGTAAGTGCCCCTGAGACCAAGAGGAAGGGGAGAGCTGGGGTGGACTAGGCTGCCTTAGCACTGGCCTATTCATAGATTTTTCTGGTCTCATTTGGGGCACAGACCTGTCCTCTTCCACCCATCCCACCCCTGCAGGTATTACTTGACCTATGACTATGGAGATCGACGGAGTCTCCTCAGTGTTTACCACGATGAGGCCTGCTTCTCATTGACCATTCCCTTCAATCCCAGCGATCCAGACCCGTGAGTATCTCAGCTCAGACTCTTGTCTGGAGCAGTGTGCCCCACCCCACCAGCAGGCACAGGTGAGCTCTTGGGATACCCGCACAGTCTGGACCACAGCCTCTTGTTCCCCTTTTTCTCCTAGGAACAGCTTGTGTGACTACTTCAAGCACAGCAGGAATATGAAGAATCTCAAGGATTCCTGTGTGTGATGGAGAAGACTGGGCAGGGAAATGGAGTGTGAAGGGGGCAATCACGGGGGCCCAAGGCCAGGGTGTGTCAGCCCCCTCATCTTTGTTTCTCTTCCCTTCTACAGTCTTGCAGGAGCAGCTGCTGAAGCACAAGAAACTTGATATTGTGGACTCCCTCAGTGTATTGCCCAAAACTCAGCATGACTTCAGTTCCTTTTCATGGACATGTGGCTCCAGATGGTGAGCACTTGCTTCTTCCCTGGGACAGGCTCAGAAAGCTAGAGTTGGGTAAGAGGTTAAGCAGGATCCTGAGCTCTTGTGTTCTTCCCTTTCAGGAAACGATGCTCTGCTTTTCTGTCAATGGGGTGTTCAAGGAAGGTGAGTCTCTGTAGAATCCCTCTCCAGATCCTCTGGTGCTCCCTCCCCTGATTGGGCATGCTCCCTCCCCCCAAATCTCTCCCAGCTTCCCTGATTCTAGTGCCTTTCCTTCTGATTGTTCCACCTCTGTTCTGCTGCCCGCACTGTGCCCACAAACCATCCCGGTCTGACTTAGGCCCTTGTCTGTCTGCCCCATAGCTCAGGTGTTAGGAACGCAGGCTGTGGGGTTTGATGGCTCTCACCCCGGTTCCATACTCTGTGATCTTGGACCAGTTATTTAACCTCTCCATTTCCCCATTTACAAAGTGAGGCTAATAATACCCAATCTCTTGTACCACTGTGGAATTCGATGAAGTGAGCATTTGAAGTGATTTTCACAGGACCCAACATAATGACGGGGAACCAATCACTGGGGTTGGATTATTTCTATTGTTGCCCTCAAATTACCACCATGCCCTCCTGTGCCCAATTATCTGTGTCTGGCCCCCTGCGGTATAAGACTCTGAGTGGGAAATGCAGCTTGAGCATGTAAAGCATGTGCAACTCTAAGGACGTATTGTTTGTTGTCCTTGAAGTGGAAGGAAAGTCCCAGGGATGTGTTCGTGCCTTCACGCGGACCTTCATTGCTACCCCTGGCAGCAATTCAAGGTAAGTACTGTGCTGTGGGTGGAAACCCCAATCCCAGTCTGGGGCCAGTGGTGTGTGAATGTGGTGATGTTGTCCTCGGGTATTCTCAGTATTGTGGAAGGTCAGCAGGTATATCCAAGTGGTTAAGAGGAAGGAGCTCTGGAGTTGGAATACCAGTTTTCCTTGACAGCAGCACACTCACTGCCTGTCACCTTGGTCAAATTACTTGACCTCTCTGTGAGTCAGTGTTCTTCTGAAAACGAGGATAAGAGTATCCACGTGTCCTCACGTTGTTGGGTAGGATAAATGCATGTAAAGCATGTGTAGATTAAATCTACAAATCCAGTGAAACTGATAGACAATCTCTCCCAAAGTGGAACTTCCGGGTCCCAGCCAAGGAATCTAGAAGGCAGGTAAAATAGGGATACAAAAGGAACTCAGTTGCTGAGTGGCGGTGGTTAAAAAGGATCCTGTTTTTGGTTGTGGGGAGTTGTCTTCCTGCCCAGTCATTCCAGGGACTGTTTTTCCTACAGTCTATGCATCGTGAATGACCAGCTGTTTGTGAGGAACGCCAACCCTGATGAGATCCGGAGAGTTTGCCCCATCCCGTTGCCCACAATCTGCTCCAGCTCCAAGCCCACCCTCTCTCAAGAGCAGCAGCAAATGGTGCAGGCTTTTTCCGTCCAGTCTGGGATGAAAGTCGAGTGGTCCCAGAAGTGAGTGCTGGTATACGTGTGAGAGGAGGTGGGCGGGGTGGGGGCGTGCAGGTGAGACAGCTGGAAGATGAATGACGAAAACTCACAGGAGATTTAGGAAAAATAACTGGGCAGATATTTTGTTTCCCTGAAAAAGGGCCCATGAAAAAAATGTCATACTGTTATACCGGTGCATGTGCAGAATTTTAAAAATCGTATAATGCTCAAATGACATTACCTTCTGTATGGAGAATCCAAAAGAATCTATCAAACAAACCAAGAGAAACTAATAAACAAGTTCAGCAAGGTTGTAGAATATAAGAGCAATGTACAAAATCATACATGTTTCCACGAACTTGCTATGAACAACCCGAAAATGAATTTAAGAAATCAAGTCCATTTATAATAGCATCAAAAAGAGTAAGACACTTAGGAACAAATGTAGCAAAAGAAGCTCAAATCTCATACTCTGCAAAAAAATGTGATTGAAAACAAAAAGATTGAAGAAGACCTAAGTAAATGGAAAAACATCTCATGTTCATGGATGAACCTTGAAAACATTGTGCCAAGTGAAAGAAGCCAGTCACAAATGATGGCAGGTCTTAGGATTCCCTTTATATGAAATGTCCAGAATAGGCAGGTCCACAGAGACTGAAATCAGAGTGGAGGTTCCAGGGTCTGTGATCACTGGGGAGTGATCTCTGATAGCTATGGGTTTTCTTTTTGAGGTGATAAAAATGTTTTGGAATTAGATAGGTGGGGTGGTTGTACAATCTTGTGTCTATACTAGAAAACCACTGAGTTGTATGCCTTCAGATAGTAAATGTGATGTGTGTCTTATATTTCAACTTAAAATTGATTGGGAAATTTTTATTTCTGAATTTCCTTTTGTTATTTTCTTGAGCATCTTTTTGAAAATCAGTGCATTTTTAAGCTCCTTCACTGTTTTGAACACCTCTGTTCTTCTGCTTTGGATTTGACTATGCATGAATGTCAGTGACAGACGTTTTGGTTTCCACAAGGTCTTTCTTCTTCATTACGATGGTGCTCATCCTGGCCATGTGTCCCAGCAAATGAGTAGCACAGGTTAAGTGGTGATTAGTGCTTAACCTGTGTTAGTAATGGAGATCACCCGATTAGTGCTTCTGTCCTGTGTTAGTAATGGAGATCACCTGTTCTTCTCCCACCACAGGTGCCTTGAGGACAATGAATGGAACTACACCAGAGCAGGTCAGATCTTCACTACGCTCCAGGTGAGGTCTGGGAATCAAGTGGGTGAAAGATGGGTGTCTCTGGGGCTTTGGGAAAATGGAAGCCGGGTGGGCTGGGGATGGAACTCGGGGCAACCGGCTCTTCTCACATCCCAATTCCTTCCCTCCAGACTGAGGGCAAGATCCCAGAGGAGGCCTTCACAAAAATGCCCTAAGAGGAGCCCTTGGATGCCATCTTCCTCTTCATCCACATCATCGTTTCTCTGAAATGAACTTAAGGCCATGCCCATGACTGGGGTTGGAGGCTGGGCTGACCAAGAATCCAAAGTTAACTTGTAGGCCATGTAACATAGCCACCCAAAGGGCCAATTGTTCTGTGTATTTTCCCCCCACTGAAGATGCCTGTTTATTTTTATAATAAAGAGGATATTGCACATTGCACGTTGTGTCCTGGGTTGTGCTTATCCTGCCCCAACGATGAGCCAGCAGGGCCAGGACTGAAACCCCTGCGCACCTCTACTCCAACCCCATTCATGTCTGGCTGTGTGTGTAAGCAGATCCATCAAACTTGCCTCCATGGCTACTTTGTGAATACATTCCCGTGAGAAAGGATACATGATTAGCCTTTGGAGACCATGTGACTCTGTTGGATGCTCTACCTAGAGGCCTGCAGAAGCAGGCATGTGACCTGGCACAAGACAGGCTTCAAAGCCAGGCGCTGCTGGCTCACGCCTGTAATCCTAGCTACTCAGGAGGCAGCGATCAGAAGGATCTCGGTTTGAAGCCAGCCCGGGCAGACAGTTCATGAGACTTATCTCGAAAATACCCAACACAAAACAGGACTCGTGGAGTGGCTCATGTGGTAGAGCACTTGCTTAGCCAGCATGAGGCTCTGAGTTCAAACCCCAGTTACCCCCCCTCCACACACACACACACACACACACACACACACAAAGGAGCTTCCCAAGGGATGACTGCTGGCTAGTGAGGGCTGTGGGAGAGAGAGGGAAAGTGGGGGCTCACATCTTTTACTTCTCATTCCTAATCATTTGAACGTTTTCATAAACCATACCATGATCCTTTTGTGATTTGCACAAAGCTGGATGGGAATGGGCCTTTTCACAGATGTCCTCATGCATCCACCTTTCTCTCCAACCACCGTCCCACCCCCTCACCTTCTTCAATGTGCTGTGCATGGAGCACTACATTAGTGCTAGTGCCTGTCAGGTGAGAGGGATTCAGTCTGTCTGGCCCATGCATTCTTCACAGAGCTGACATCGGATGCTCCATGTGCATGTTCTTGAGGAAAGGTTTCAGCCAACTACTTTTACTTCCAAACAACAGTAATAGCCAAATGAATCATGTCAACCTATACCTGTTGGTAATTAAGAGAACAGAAATGAATGCAGTAGACATATGTAAAATTGCTCAACTACACTAAAAATTAAAGAAATGGAAAAGATTAGGGCATCGTTCATCTTGCCTGTTTTCCTTGCTCCCTGGGAGGAGTCACTAGGAGGCTCACAGTCCAGGCTGGCCCTGGTCAAAAATGTGAAACCCCGTCTGAAAAGTAAAGTAGAAGAGGGTTGGGGACATGGCTCAAGTGGTAGAGCTCTTGCCTAGCAAGTGCAAGTTCAAAACCCCAGTATCACCAAGAAAATATAATTGAAAGTACTGAATATACAAGTAAATACATAAGCAAGGTACTGAACAAAATGTACAACATGACCTGATTTTTGAAAAACCTATTTTCTTAAGAATATGCACGTCGTATTTTAAAATATAAACAAGCCTTGACAAATGTGGAGAATATTTCAACATCGGTTGAGTGCTTATCTTGTGGCAGGATACAGTTCAATGTCTCTTTCAATTTCTCCAGAGTTCAAATTCTCCCAAAATTAATGAACCAATAAAGCAATGGGCAAGTGAACTAAACAGAACTTTCTCAAAAGAAGAAATTCAAATGGTCAAAAAACACATGAAAAAATGCTCACCATCTCTAGCAATAAAGGAAATGCAAATTAAAACCACACTAAGATTCCACCTCACCCCTGTTAGAATAGCCATGATTAGCAACACCACTAACAACAGGTGTTGGCGAGGATTCGGGGAAAAAGGAACCTCTTACACTGCTGGTGGGAATGTCAACTAGTACAACCACTCTGGAAAAAAATTTGGAGGCTACTTAAAAAGCTAAACATTGATCTGCCATTTGATCCAGCAATACCACTCTTGGGGATATACCCAAAAGACTGACACAGGTTACTCCAGAGCACCTGCACACCCATGTTTATGTGCACTGTTCGCAATAGCCAAGTTATGGAAACAGCCAA